AAAAAAACCACTTACCCTCAGCCTCATAACACACAGAGCAATATTTTGCCATACAATTTTAGTAAGATATATACAGCAGACTGTTTCAAAGCTTCTCTTCTGAAACTAATGTGACACTTTACATAACTGAACATTTGCCGTGACAGTAAATAACCTTCCACTGGGTTTACTGAAGGACATACTAAAAATTATTTTCCTTTCAACTGGAAGCTGGTTTTCTATACAAAAGATTGGTTCTACCTGCAGAAATACACTAACTTCAATGAAATCATGTACTGCCATTCAAAAGCCACGTTTCAGTTGCAAAAGGAGACTTAATAGAATTCAGAATAAATTGAACATATTAAAAATTAAAACACAGATTTAACAGTGTCACTACATATTATTTCAAGAATCTAAGAATCAGTTAGGGGCATGATTTTTTTCCACTTAAAGAGCTGCTCTAAAATGAAATTTGCTAGATTTAGTGATAAAGTCTTCATATTTAAGCATTTTAAAAGCTTGCACTGCTCTTCCTCAGGTGCAATTCAGATTGCCTGTTTTAAAACCTTAACTAGCTGGGGAGGGGGGAAAATAAGGAGGGAAAGCACTAAATCAACTTTGTAAAATCCTGACAAACTCAAATGATAATCTTTGAACAGACTGTGAAACTCAACAACTCAGAAATATTTCACATATGTCAAACCAATAGCTCTGCACCTTATCCACAGTTAAAATTCAAGATACGTAAAAAGCACAAATACCAAGATAAAATAGCCCAAATCCTCCAATTTACTGTCTTCTGCCCTGGGATGTTATGTCAGTGGGATGAACTTCTGGACTTCAAAGACCTGGACTCTTCTAGAAGATGAGCTGCTGATGAGCTTCTCTTTCTGCATTTGGCCACCAACTTGGTAAAATCCAGATTAAACAAATCTCTGAGAAAAAAAATGCAAGTAAGAGACTGCTCTGAATTTAGAAGAATGCTTTTGAAGATTAGTATTAAAAGCAGGATTGCCTCAATTTCAAATTGATGCCTGTAACTCCCCTGCCTATTAGTATAGTGTCATCAGCACCAGAGATAGTAATGCTACAGACAGTCCAAGTGGAAGAAATCAGCTTCAAAAATGTCCTGATTTTCATTCATCTCAACACCAAGATGAAAAGATAGCTTACACAAACTTCTGTCTGTTAAGACTGCTAAAAGAAAATTATTGTGTAGGCTCATGGCAAATTTTGCTCATAATTGTTAAAAAAGCAAAAGCAGTAGTCAAATGATGTCTTAAATTATCAGAAGAGGTAGACACACCATCTGTCTGCTGCCCAAAATAGCCAGAGTGAGTTGTTCTGTCAAATCAAAAGAAAAATACACTACAAAGTTGATTAAACCCATAGAGTAGCACTACACATATAAATTAAAGGAAACCATCCAACCTGCTAGCTGTGGATAAATTATTTTATGAAATCTCTCTCTCTCTGCTCAGATGATGGGAGCATTGGCAACCTTTCTTTGTAACTGCTCTGGGCCTGGCTGGGATAGGGTTATTTTTTTTTCATAGCAGCACTACAATGCTGTTTTAAAATTGTGACCAAATCAGTACTTCTGAAAATAAATGTTTTTGTTACTCCAGAACAGCATTTGCACAGCATCCAGGACCTTTCTGTTTCTCACACTACATTCTCCTCTCCTCCCCATAAATAGGCTGGTGGATGCACAAGGGTTTGGGAGGGGACATAACCAGGAAGGCAACACAAACAGATCAGAGAGTCCATTTAGTGTCATACTTAGCAACAAAAAGTGAGAAGAGTGGGGTTTCAGTCCAGCTTGCCAGCTGTTGCTCAGAAATTGGCTGGGCATTGGTCTGCCCATGAGAGGTGATGTGGGGCTGCCTCTGCATCACTTTTTCTGTTTTCTCTCTTGTTCCACTTCTTAAAACAGCTTTTATTTTGAAACCAAGTCTTCTTTTCTGTTCCACTCCTCATTTCTTATTCCACTGAGAGGGAATAGCAGGTAAGCAAGGGCCCATGTGGTGCTCAGGTGTCTACTGGGCTAAATCCCCAGCAATCAACAGCCCTCCACACAAAATCTATGGCAGCAAACCACAGTATATGATTATTAACAGATACTGGAAAGAATTATGGAACATGCAACACTACCCCAATGTGTTGAAATGTTAGCTAGGTAGCAATGCTCATGATCTGCTATCAGCACTCTTGGTCAACAAAGAATTAGGGTAATAATTTCTCAATGTCACATGGAGTCTCATTCATAAAGAGCTGTACTTCTTGCTCCTTTCAACTACATGAGTCAACAGAATCTCACATGGTACAGATGCCATAAAATTTTCCAAAGAAAAGAATAAGAAGCTTCTTCTCCAGCCATTCTCACCATTTATCATGCCTGGATGCTCGTGTCAGTGTAACATTTAGTTAAATTGGTCAAACTGCTCTTCAGTACCACCTTCTACTCAAACTGGCTTTGTCAAAAAAAAACCCCAAACCTTTAAAAGCAATACTTCTAAGTTACATCTTAATTTTCAAGTTCTCCCTCACATTTGTGATGTCAAACAGCAGGAGACAAAGGAGGAATTCTCCAAACAGATGAGATTTAGGATACCAGATATTTTCAGATTAATAGAGCCATGAACCATACTTCCACTCCTTCACACCAAGCCACCCACATGGCAGAACAAAACCACTCCAAAAATGAGGGTTCTTCCAAGAATGCTGGGTTTAGTTGCAGCTTTTCAGTACAAACCATACTCAGAACACACCAATCACCATGCATGCATATGTTACCTTAGAAGGAATTATTTTAACGTGACAGGTACTAACCCCACACTGATATCCCTTTCAACCCAGACAAAGAAGAATACATAACAGGCTCCCTAAATACACCTTGGAAAATCAAAAAGTAAATAGAACTGTGTATAATTTATAATCAGGGTAAAAGAAAATAACAGAATAAACCCAGCACATTAGTACAGGAGTTGTTCTGTCACACACAACAGACAACACTCCTTGTTCTGAGTGAGGATGCAGAGTTGACCACTGAGACATAATTAAGTCACTAATAAAGACAAACTTCACAGTGCCTTCAGGGAACAGACCCACTGTCAGCCAAAATTTCCACCCTGACACAGCACTTTAGATCCAGGAGTACATTTAGAGACAGCTGGGTAGAATTTTGACTCTTAACAAAGTTTCCAGAATTAACCATGGGCTAGAAACTGCATAAACTACTGCTCTACTTTTGAGGTCCACTTTCCAGCGCCAGCCCCACATGAGTAGTCTCTTCACATACCCGAAGTGCATACAAAAGTAGAAGCAATAAAAATTTTCAGCTTCAATGCTCTCCTATCAATGAAAAGCTACATATGATCCTCAGGATCCTGCCTTGAATCTTCAATGATGCAACCAAAGATTAGGTTGAAAAATAAAAGTTGTAGGTTTCTCATTTAATTACTTTCCACACCTTCCAGTAGGCATCTCTAATTTGCAAATACACTATAATGGTTTTTACACTGTACAGCAGTTTACTTGCAGATTGATACAGTGGAAAAAAGTGGTGATGTTAACTGTGCTGTAAAGGAGGTGGCAAGGAGCATTTTAATTTTATCTGAAAATCTGTCAGGACAGTTCTGTCCTCATAAACCTAGCTCCCTTCCTTTTTCATAGTACCACATTCAATGCAATGTGAAAACCTTCCAGTTGAAGAGGATTAATACTGACATTTGAATTTTTCCAATGTATAAGCGGTATCAGCTTTAATAACAGCCATACACGTCATCCTTTATGTTGTATGACATCTAGAACAAATTTAGAGAACCTTTGTTCTCCCAACTGTTCAACACACCAGTGGAGGGAGAAAAGTAGGAATGAAAAATACTTAAGAGGAGCACAGACAGCTATTAGAACAAGGGCAAGAAGAAAGGCAGTGTTTCTTAAACCATGGCTACTGTTTAGATTAATAGGAAGAGACCGGATAACTGGAATGGAAAATGGCTCCTTCAGCGACCTTTAGTGTGCACAGTGCCATCCCCGAGAATGAACCTTAAAAATGGATATGCTCAAAATATTCATCAAGGAAACAGGGAGCAGGCAGCTGACAGCCACTTGAGAGAGAAGCAATGCCTATGGTAAGACTTACAATTCTGGGCTTTTTAGATCAGTTTGACCTCAATTTGCATCTCCTTATCATTCTATTCCTTTAATTAGATTAAAGTGTCTTTCATGGCACACTGTAGGTGTTGCAGTCTGGGTTCTTTAAACACATTTGAAATGTTAATTAAAAATGCTAACAGCTATGTACAGTAATGAAAACATATAGAAACATGAGACTGATGAAATTCATCTGGAAGACACATTTAATGTCGCAACAAAATCCTGAGCAACTGTCAAATACCTCTTTTCTGTCAACACTTACTTAACAAAAGCTTTAGATGATCTTTACTAGAGAAAAACTATTCTTAGCTGTTTAAAAATGACAGCAGAACAGCCTGATCCCCCTCTAATGGGAGATAAGTCTTCCAGCATCTCAATGGCCTGAAAGTTTAGTTTGATGATAAAAGCAACATAGTTATTTTTAGCACTCTACGGGCATAAAAATACAGCTCTAAACTGTGACCTACAGCTATGCACAGCCAAGCATCACATCATACGACAGCCTTAACTTTAGCTACAAGCACGTCTGTAGTTGCTTCAGACTATCATTATTCATCTCACTACCAACAATACATTTGGATGGATTTAGCAACAAGCATTTGAAATTGTTACCATCTTTTTTTTAAATTGCTGCCATCGGCAGAATTCAATTCAAAGGTAGGAGATCTTAATGGACTTGGTAGAAAGTATTTGAGAGACCATGTTAGGTTAAATGGATTACTGCTTCTCTCCAGTACAGAGGATGAAAAAGAACCTTAAAAGCAGAAAAACTTAAACTGTCATATTCAGTACAGAAAGTCATTTTTTCTGGGTACAGTTTGAGTAAATGAAAAAAAAAAAAAAAAAGAAAGAAAATAGGAAAAAGAAAAAAGAAAAACAAAACCTTGTTTTCTTCCAGCAGTGCTAACAACCTGCAAACGGGATATGCTAGAATAAGACACCTTCAAGCAAACTCACCTGAAACACTGTTCACAGAAAACTGCAAAGGTAATTTTTTTTATTCCAATTTGCGTGCTTGTGTGTGCATGATTTGTTACAAAATGCAAATTAGAAGTCTATTCTCCCAGATTTCTGTTTCCAGATAATGTGAACAATAATTAAAATAGTTAAAATAAAAATTGATACATAAGTTATAAAACCTGATCAAGCAGAGTTCTAGCACTTAACTACTAATTAATTATTTCAATTTAAAATATATGTGTCAGTTCAAATTCTTGAGGTTTGGGGGTTTGTGTCTTGTTGGAAGGGAGTGTTCTTACTTAGTCGGGTTTTTTGTGAAGTTTGAGGGGTTTTTTGTTAGCTTTCATGATAGGGTGTAGGGGTTTCCTCCCTGATTGTTTTTTAAATCATGTATAGTATGGATAAAATATGAAATATTTCCAAGATTATGGATATGTACTTTCAAATGCTGTAGATTTCACAGAGTATGTTAACTCAGAAAAGAGACAGGAAATATTGTAAGGTGCAAGACTTGTTGTATTTCATTACGGCCTGGTGATTTTGTACAGCAAACTATTCTAAGATCATTAATAAAGTTTCATTCAAACATTCAGTTCCTAAGAAAGAAGTCTACAGGTAAAAAGAACTAACCCGTTAGACAGACAAGCAAAATTAATTTTTTTCCTCTCACTAGCTTAAAAATGCCACTTTTTGGCTGGATGAAATGGTCAAAAACTGATTCCTACAAATCCACAAGATGTCCTGGATCAGAAGTAGTTACAAAAACCCTGCTGAGGGAGTTGAAATGGCACCTGAAAGAGCGTGAAAGATTAGTGCAAGAGATTGAAAATGAACAAAAAGTCCAAAAAACTGGCATGGATTACAACTGGCTCAAGAACTACCAAAATCCTCAAGCAACAATTCCAGCTACTGAGCAACGACAGCTTGAAGTTCTCTGCTCTCAAATCCAGCCTTGCCAAACAGGAACTGTTCTCAGCAGGTAATTGTTTCATATTTCCCTGACTCTGAGTTCTCTATCACAAGTCAGATGTTTCTCTGCCTAATCAAAGTTTGTATTTGGCTCTGCTCTTCCAAAGCAGCAATGACCAGTAACTGGAGAGCATTTTTAAAGTTGTTTTAGAAATTACATCTTCACTTTAATACGCTGCACTTGAAGGAAGTTTTAAATCAGGATTTTCCTGGTCTAATCCAAACAAAGGAAATCTTGTATAACCTTTCAATACTTCCCATTTTTCCTGTTACTTATCCCTATTATTCAGTAAATAGCAACCTAGTAACTAAAAATCAAATAAAAGGACTAATGCAATGCACTATTACACAGAAATCCGGCCATACTGTGGCCAATACCAGAAAGCTCCTAAAATTTTGCCAATCAGTGTAAATTAAAAAAAAAAACCCTCTACACATTTTATGAAGAAAAATTCTCCTATGCCTGCATTTTAAGTACATTTTCTAGGGACTCAGAAAGGACAGAACAAGTCCATTTGCCTTTTAAAGCCCAGAATACACCTGAGGGCAAAGTCAGTTCAAATCAAGTTACCCAGATGGGCCAAAGGAAAAAAAAAAAAAATAAAAGAGCCTACCCAATTACAACTGCTTTCAATCCACAATAGCTGGAGCACATCCAGTACATTGTTAGAGCTCTTTTCCTCTTACAATCTTCCTGGGGCGGGGGGGGGGGGGGGGGGGGGGTGAGTGGGGAAATGTGGCAGCAAGGAAAAAATGACACTAGAACTCAAGTCATTTCCTCCTCCCCCACCCCCAACTGACAAGAGAGGAAAGAGAGAAGTTTTCAGTGCTGATGATTAGATTTCAATTTTTGGGTTTTTTTGTTTTGTTTGTTTTTTTTTTTCCCTAGATTTCGGGAAGTTTTGGCAGAAAATGATGTTTTACCGTGGGAAATAGTCTACATATTCAAGCAAGTTTTAAAAGATTTTCTTACCACCATTGAGAGAGAAAACCAAGCAGAGCAGCTGGTAGATGCATGGAATACAAATTGCCCTGAACATTTTAGTCCGCGTGGTGACAGCTCCAACAAGTCGGACAAAGATGAAATCCCCACGGTTTCAAGTTATGTCGACAAAAATACACAAAGCATGTTTCCCACCTTCTCTCACAGAATCTGGAATCTACCCTATTACTACCCATCAAGTTAAGTTGGTTTTGTGTTACTTTCAAAAATTTATGTAGCCATCCATATTCCTTTCTTGTAACTGCAGTCCAGACTCACAGGAGTAGAAATGTGACATGCTCCCCTTTTTATTCCAAATTTAGAAATTAAAATCCTTTGTAATAGCTAGTATGCAGTAACTTAGGTATCAATTGACCTTTTATCTTTATAGTTTCTTAGAGCTGTTGTGTTAGAAGCCACCTTTTCATCAAAAATGTAGATGTTTCCGAAAAAAAAACTCAGAGGCAGTTTAATTTTCAGCCATACAGAGCTAGAAGTATTTAAACAACAACAAAAAAAGATTGCTTGTATATTTTGAAACAGCATCAATCCAGAGAGTGTTAGACAAAAAGTTCTGTTTGACACATAGCTTTTAGACTCTATAGGAACTTTATGCTGTGTAAAAGAAATGGTTTAATATAACATCAGTTAAATAAACTGGTAAATACTTTTTGGATCTGAATAATTATTTCTTCAAGAATAATTGCATGAAAATACTGACAGGATTTAGCTGAATGTGTTATGTCTATGTTTTTTACTAAACTATACTGTGCACATGCTGACGTATGAGAAGGTGGACAGCTGGACAAAACCACTAGATATTTAATAGCATTTAACAACTAGCTCTCTAATTACAAAATTATTTAATTTTAAATAGACATTTTTCATTTCACTTACTTGTTCTGAAACCCAAATTCTGCATAAACCTTTAACATTTTGATGAAATCAGGTGGTACTTCTCTAAAATAGCTAAGGAGTCAACAGATCACTTCCAACACACAAGGTGTTCATTCTAAATTTATATATACCAAGATCTAATGTTTCTCAGCCACCATGATCTATCACTGTGGGTTCACAAAGTTTTACAAGATTATTCACATACACAGCAGTCATGGTCACAGCAGGCAATTAGAGCAGAAAATCAATGAAAACATATGCAGAACTCAGCTGGCTACATTTCCAATTGTGCTCCCATCACTGTAACAAGTTTTTACATGTTTTATATAACGTCATCTTCTCTGTATTTGCTTTTGATCTGTCTGTTGGGTAAGACTCATTTGGCCCAATTCACAGAATGCACTATTTCATAAACAAAACTGCTTCCTCTGGTATTTTCTTCAAACATACTGAAGAAGCCAATCAGATTTCATCAAGTTGGTAATAGAACTTAAAGGCATCTTATGCTCCACAGCTGTATCCCCCATTCCATAAAAATTTACTAATAATGCAACATAAATTGGATAAATAAATGGCACAATCATTTACTAAACACTTTTAAATCTTTTTAATAGTGAATTTTAAAAAGTCTTTGAAAAGCTTATGATATAGAGAACATTTCATGTAGAGAAATAAAACATAACATTCAGAAAAGATAAAACAATGAGAACCCCTACATCCATGTAAAGGACAAAGCACTGGAAGACTAGAGTAAAAAAATTTCCAACAGGTTTAAAATAACAAAAGCTGCAGCTCAATACCAAAAGTAACTAGCCCCTCTACCTCACATAAACTAAATACACAAAGCCTCACAAGGACATGCAAACTTCTTAGAGCAGCTATAAACTCTTTGCCCTCTTCTTGTCAAAAGGCATTGGCAGGATTAATATTACTCTGAGAATTAACATCCATAATGCTGGTTTCAGATAGCTTTGAAGCGGTCAAATATGCAAGATTCCTGAAATGGCAATTCATGTAAGTTTATTTCTTAAAATGGTATCCTCACAGCTCTCTATCTGAAATATAGCTTAAAAAATTGTAAAAATGCAGCTTCCTAATTTTCACCTACGGAAAATAGAAGGCCAGTAACATGGAAGATCCGCTTACTTTAACAATCACCAAAAATGAGCAGGGAAAACAAACAAACAAAAACAACAAGATAACCCCAGATACAACTTGCCCATGCTTTGCAAACTTCACTTCAATTTTATTTTAACATATGCAAATGCATTTTTCCATGTTTAGAAAGAGGGACTATCAACTATGCCATATTCTAAAAGGCAGTTGCTGCACAATAGTTTAAAAACATAGGCAGGCATCATAGCCAATTCAGTGTTAAATCCCTATACAGTGCCAGGGAAATGCACAGAAAGGCTCATCTACTTTTACATGCATATTTTAATCAGACTACTGCATCCAGTTCTAGTGTCTGCATTTGGGGGAAAGGAGAAGGAGAAAGCAAAGGAGAACTGCAGAAGGTACAGTAAAAAAAATATCCAAAGGCTGAGAAAATGCCATCCTCTAAAGCCTCACTTTGGCCATTTTTTTCCAAGTACTGAAATGTGCGGTAACTTTGTGGAATACAAGCACTTCCTCCTGAGCAAATTGTTATATACTCTCTTTAGTTAAAAAGCAGAGAAAAGCAAAGAAAAAGCAATGGGGTAAGGGGAAGAATCCCAACTAAAAATGTTAAGCATATTTTAAAGGAATTTGTTAGGTTTACCGCAACATGCTGCCAAGAAAATCTGTTCTTCAGCTCACTAGCTGACACAAGCCATTTGCTAGAATTATGCTTACCCTTGGAATTCAGCTACCTCAGACAGGAGTAAGATCGCTGAAAAGCCAGTCACCACTACCTGTGGGAGATCACCATCCAAGAACTCTGCAACAGCTTCTTTAAGTATTTTTTATTTATGCCCTACCCAGTTTGCATGAGGTGTTCCAAAACTACATCGTCTCTTACGCTGAGCCAGCAGATATTTCTGCAATAGGCAGGCAGGCAACACAATCCACTGTGGTGACAGAAAGGTGAGTGGCAGTAATTGCAAAGGACAGCAGTGTCTCCCACCTGCACAAGTGTCAAGGAAAGCAGACAGCATGCAATGTTTCCAGCCAGTAACCAATTTCGAAAAGGTGCTAACTTGGTGAAAGGTGCACCTGTGAAATGCAGAAAATATACAGACTTAAGCCTTTAATGTCTTAATGTAAACACAATTGTGTGGATACCAAGGAAAGATTTAAGGGTCTAAATTTATTTTCTTTCAGTTAAACATAACAAAAGAAACTAAAAAGTTAATTAATGAAATTCCAGTCAGATTTCATGCAGTTTCTATTTCTATTGCCTTTCCCCAAGCAGCTCAATTACTAATACTGCTATTCTAGAAGTAGTTCAGGAAGCAAAAGAACCTTAAAACCTTCGTCATCAGTAAAGGAAGCAAACACATTCCACATCTCATTTTAAGGGAGATACGAGACTTTTAGATCCCATTAAACAATCTCAGTAACGTTTCTGTAAAGTATTATTACACACACTCGTGCGCAGTAACACACCTGTTATTACCAATTCGGTATTAAACACACCCATTCTCACATATAAATTTAGACAAAACTGGTAGGCAGACAAGTGTCCATCAGTAATTGTATATCCAGCTTCAAATAAATATATATAAGCGTTTCAAAAATCTGAGTAACTTTAGTTTTGACTTTCCCAAGAAACAAAAAAAGAATTTTCAAGGAAGTATACAAGTATGCTACAAGCAGCCTCAATAAATGAGAAGAAATTCTTTTGTTTTCAGCTCCTCAAACTCTTTCTTAAGAAGTCAGTGAATAAAATACAAGCACTTCCTTTGAAATGCTTAAATCTAAACCTCCCATAGAGACTTCAAGTTTTGCAGAAACAACCAAAATGTAAGCACATCCCCAGAGCTGTGAAACAGAAGTATGCACGGAAATAAAACACACCTAAGCTTCTCATACAGATTCCTTCCATCTTGTGGCAGGACAGATATGCACCTGTCATCTATGCTCAAACGTTTTATAGATATTTTTGAGAAATTCTGCCCACATAAATCTTACATAAATGGTCATTTAAGATACATATCGCTTCTGTCCCACTCAGACATGGAGAAAAATAATTATAAAACCAAACCTGTAAAAATAATTTTTTCCCTACAAACACCACTGTCAAACTCACAATCAGGTCATCTGCTAAGACTTGTGAGTGGAATGAGCTTTCTGTCCAACAAAAAATAAAGATGTGCCTCTGCCTAGTCACAGAAGGCTCAATCAATCTTCTTTATTTCTCCTGTGTACAGGAAATACATAAAATAGATCTTGTGGCTTAGTACTCAGCTGGGTTAAAGAGTCAAACACCTAATACTATAGAAACATTACTATCACCTAAACAAAAGCCGAGAAGTTACAGACATCTTGTTTGTACTGGCTTGAGGCATACATTCACAGAAATAACTTAAAAGAACTGTAAAATTTTGTCTGGTCACTTCTGTAAAATTTTAACTACTTGCACAAAGCCCAGTAGCTCTTGGTCAGTAATTCAGAGCTTGGTAACGGCACGACCTTTACACTGAAAGATAAAACGGAACAGGTATTTTGAGGTGCCAGTTTTGTCCTTCACTTGAAGCAAATACAGAAACACTGCTAGCCTGAACAGTCTCTGCTGAAATACCAGACTACCTGATACCAAGATGTTACACAAGCAGCTCATTCTTTCTCAGATGCCAGTGTACACCTTTCAAGATAAATACACCTTCCTAAAATACAGCAACCTCTATTGCTGTGCATCACACAGGGAAAAATAAAACCCAAAACACTCACACAGGAGTGTATGTCCAGCTCATCTTGAAAAATACTATATGGAAGTGCACACAAAACAGTTCCCTACAGGAACCACAGATACATTACCACACCTGATCTTAACACCAAGATTAGTATCCACTGCCACACTCCAGGCAGCATCCAGTAGTTTTTGGATTTCAATATCCAGACTCCAGTGAAAAGCAAATGTACCTGGCTGCTATGCAAACACACATATAGTTCTCCTTGCCTATAAACTCTGCCATCTGAGAATAACAAATAAAGAACAATACACCAATATACCTCTATCTTGCTTTACTCTGGTAACTTAAATGCTTCCTTTGGTCACGACAGCAATGAACTCGTGACTCTCATTTATCACTTGCCACTGATAAAATTTTAAGTTAATGCATCTGAATCAGAATAATTGAGTAGTTTTTAGTACAGTTGTACAGTTTTTCAACAGGACTAGGTATAGCTGCACACCAGCGCTAAGTCACTTCAGAGAAAGCGAACCCTACATGCAACACATCTAGTGATGACGAAGACAATACACCTAAGAAGCAAAACAGAAAACAACATTTTAAATGCACAAAAACACATCAGCCACAAATGCTATCGGAGGTGTTAGGCTGGAATCCAACAACTACACAGCCCGGGCCCACCAGAGCAGGGGAGCCAGAGGAGGCTGCCCTGGCTCTGGGGAACGCCCAGGGCGCACAGCAGGGACGAGAGAGGGAGGCCATCGAGAGCAGCGGCCCAGCGCCCCGCACTCACCCCGCAGTCCTCAGCGGCTCCACTGCGGGGCAGCGCGAAGAAGGGCCAGGGCGGCCAACCCGCGCCTCTTCGCCCAGCAGCTCGAAGGCGGTGACGGCCCCGCCGACGGTGAACCAGTCCCGGCGCTGTCCCTCGGGGAGTTTC